TCATTTACAGAGGACGAGATTCTCAATTCCATTAAAGACGAGAATCTAATCGGAAAAGGAGGTTCCGGCAACGTTTACAAAGTGACCGTCGGGAACGGGAAAGAGTTCGCAGTGAAGCATATATGGAACACCAATCCGTACGACGACAAGAGGAGGAACCGAAGCTCGTCCCCCATTCTCCAAAAACAAAGAACGAAATCCTCAGAATTCGATTCAGAGGTGAAGACTCTAAGCTCAATCCGACATGTAAACGTGGTGAAGCTCTACTGCAGCATTACAAGTGAGGTTTCAAACCTATTAGTATACGAATATATGCCTAACGGAAGCTTATGGGACAGACTCCACACATCCAGAAAAATGGAATTGGATTGGGAAACAAGATACCAAATCGCCATCGGAGCAGCAAAAGGGTTAGAGTATCTTCATCACGGCTGCGACCGACCAGTGATCCACCGAGACGTTAAGGCCAGTAACATACTCTTGGACGAATTTCTAAAGCCAAGAATTGCAGATTTCGGCCTAGCCAAAATGCTTCAAGCTAGTGGGTTCACCGAGAGCTCCCACGTCATCGCAGGCACCCCAGGCTACATCGCTCCAGGTAAACTCACTCGCCCTACTGTTCATTCTTTCATCCCGTCATTACTATAAGTTGTATTAATTCAAATTAATTCATACAGAATACGGGTATACGTACAAAGTCGACGAGAAGAGCGACGTGTACAGTTTCGGGGTCGTGTTGTTAGAGTTGGTGAGCGGGAAGAAGGCGATCGAGGCGGAGTTCGGGGAGAACAAGGACATAGTGGAATGGGTATCAAACAATTTGAAGACAAGAGAAAGGGTATTGAGCTTGGTAGACTCAAGGCTCGGAGACATGTTTAAAGAGGACGCCATAAAGGTCCTGAGAATTGGGATTTTGTGCACAGCCAGGGCTCCGACATCGAGACCGACAATGAGAAGCGTGGTCCAAATGCTACAAGAAGCCCAACCTTGTGGGTTAGTTGGAATTACAATTAGCAAAAAATGATGGGACTGTTAATACGGAATTAGCAACCGCATTAGTGTCTAAACCTTACCACTAATCTAAACTATCATGTCGGCCCAGTTTTTCTGTCGGCCCATTAATGTTGTTGGGCCTGTTTGAATTGTACCATGGGCCACCATCATGGGCTTGGGTGATTTCTAAGTTGTACATTATGTCTTTTGGGAATAAGAAGCTACCTGATCGAGATCCGACACGCTATGTCGTACCCTTCTTGAGTGGTTGATATCTCTCTCGAGCTCGACTCAATGGCGTCGAGTAGGAAATTCTTCCTTGCATATCGACCGATCCCGAACATCCAAAATTATCCAAAATTATAAATCGTAAATGATTTATTTAATAATAATAATATTTATAAAAAAAAAAAAGGAAAAAGGAAGAAAGAATTTGACTTTTGTAAAGCATATTTTGAGATTTTAGTTGGGACATAAATAAATAAATAATATATTAAGATATTATATTTTAATATTATAAAACAATAATCACTGCTTAATTTGCTTTACATAATGCGTTGAGAGACGCGGCCTTTCAGTCGCCGCATCACTCAATTCTTCCCTCCTAAAACTCCAATTATTTCTCTTACTTTTAAAACCACTTAAAACCGACTCGAACCGTACCGATGTATAGCACAGGCTAACCATGTGCTCGTTTTCTTTTTAACTATTGCTCGGCTTCTTAGTTGTCGTGTGAACAGAGTATAAAAGAGAATAGAGATGAACACGGATTGGGTTGGAGAAATCTTTTGGATTGATGACTCGTGTAATCCAAATAGAGTTCGCAACTCAACCCAACCCAACCTTGTATTTTCCTTTGTTAAGTTGTTTTTTTTTAATTATTTAAAAAAAATTATTTATCCACATGTTACATTCATAACTAAAATATTAGTCACAATCCATCACAAACATTAATTACCAACTTTAAATATTCTTAATTTTATCGTTGGGTTTGGTTGAATTATAACTCTATTTTTAGTTGGTTGAATCGACTGGTCCATCACTTGAATGTTCCATTTTTTTAAAATTTAACTCAACCCACACTAAAAAAATCTAACTCGACTTGTGGTTTGAATTGGTCAGATTCTTAGGTCATATATTGTATTTAATAATAAAAATAATAATTTCATATTTGATTTGTGCTAATTTTAGTAAATGATGTAACAATTATACATTTTAAACTGTGTGGGGCCCACTGGATAATGCCCACTAAAGTGTATTCCATAATGTGGTCTTGTTTTTTTTTTTAATGATATGATAATATTTTAATTCTACAAACGTAATCCTAAAAACACGGAATTTCCTATTTTTTAAATCTTATTTAAAAATTGGACTAAAAGAAAAATGCCTTATTTAAAACGTTTTTCTTTTCTAAAAACATTTTTAAACACTTTTTAAATAATGTAGAGGTAAATTTTATTTATTTAAAAAAATAATAATAAATAATTATCGAGGGTGTACACGTAAAATCACCTCTATTTCAATCATAGGTAGCAGCAAAAAGACAGAACAATTAATATATATTAAAATAAAAAAATAAAAATAAAAATCCAACTCATGAGGATAAGAATATTTGTAGAAACCCACTTATTTTTTCTTGGAGAAAATAGTAATTTCCACTTAAATATTTAAAGACCGTCCAATGAGAAATCGACAAGTAGGAATTTTGAAAATGATTTAAAGAAAATAAAAAAAAATAAATAAATAAAGAAAATTAAGAGAGAATTGAAGCTACCAAATCAGATTCCCAATTGGCTTTTTAGGAGTGGGCATCTTTTGCTTTGCATTTTATGGACAACTCCTCCCCAACACAGATTCTCAACTTTCCCCTTCCTTTTGTACCCCCCATTTTATGTCCACGTGGGCGCTCGTCCTCGCTCCCGTTCTTCCCCTTTAAAAGTAGACTATTGTAACGACTTTAGTCCACTGCTAGCAGATATTGTCCGTTTTTACTTGTTACGTATTGGGCTAAAGCGGACGATATCTACTAGCGGTGGTCTCGGATTGTTACAATTGGTATCAGAGTCTGTGTATAAGTGAGGACACTGAGCCCACAAATAGGGAGGATTGTGAAATCTAACATCAGTTGAACAGGGAAACGAAATATTCCTTGTAAGAGTGTGGAAATCTCTCTTTAGTAGACGCGTTTTAAAATCTTGAGGCTAACGGTGATACGAAACGTGTTAAAATGAACAATATTTGCTAGCGGTGACCTAAGGCTGTTATAGTTATAACCACTAATTTTCAGCTCAACAATAACATGTAGAGTAAGAAGTCGAACATCTAGCCTCAAACCTCTTAGATTATTTCAATAGTAATTTTCGGATCAATTTTGTGAATAAAACCCTAATTATTAATGTTAAATTACAAGTTTCAGCTGAGTTGTGGTTAAGGGTGAAATGTCATGCCACTCGAACCTAGAGCTAACTGGTTCTCCTCGAAATGCGTTGAGGCGCAGCAGTTGACTAGACATTTAGGGGTAAAGCACTGTTTTGATGTGAGCCGCGAGAGCGGTACCAAATTGAGGCAAACTTTGAATACTATATATGATCTCAAAATAACATGGGTCAAGGTCGGCCAGTGAGACGATGGGGATAAGCTTCATCGTCGAGAGGGAAACAACCCGGATCACCAACTAAGGCCCCTAAATGACTGCGAGGTAAGGATACAGAGGTCACTAAACTTTCACGACTTGTCTAATAATTTTATTTTTAAAAGTTTGAAGTTATAGATAATATGGTCCTTAAATTTTTAATTGAGCAGTTAAAAAAAATAAATGGAGAATTAAAAGATTTTTTAAAAACTAATTAATATCTTATTATTCCTTATCTTTACCTTTTAATTGATATAATCATTAAAATTAAGAATTAATTGAGCACTAATTTTTTTTAGTAGAGTGATGGTGGGACCATTTATTATTATTATTATTATTATTATTATTATTATTATTATTATTATTTTATGTGGAGAGCTTCTAGTTCAGGCTTTTGCTTCCTCCTTCAAGACATGAATAGTTTTTTTGTTTTACACATTATAGGTTTTATTATAAATAATTTAATTTAATGATTATAAAATTGGTATATAACCCATTTCAATTACTATACCCAAATTTAATTTCCACCGAGATTAAAAAAAATTGTTTCCAAACGAAGGCTTGCCACGTGGTCAAATCATTGACGTACACATATCTAAACTTGAGTCAAAACTACAATGAGGTTAACATTGTTTACAAATAAGCTGACCACAATGTAGGGATAGATAGATAGTACCGACACACAATCTACTGCTCATTAGGGTTGTACACAGCTAGTAGATATTGTCCACTTTAGCCCATTACGTATAGCCGTCAGCCTCATGGTTTTAAAACGTTAGGAGATGTTTCCATACCCTTATAATTAATGCTTTGTTCCCTTCTCCAATCAATGTGAGATCTCACAATCCATCTTCTTAGGTGCTCAACGTCCTTGTTGGCACACTGACTGGTATCTGACTCTGATAGATTATTAGGGTTTAGGGTCATTGACATGGTTAACTTTGACATTCTCATGATTGAGCTATCGAAAAAGAAAGTACATCTTATGTAAAGTTTTTATGGGTTATCTTATTCGAATACTCTCATTTGAATGTGGGCTCGGTTCGTTTATATTACCCCTTCATTACACGGGTGACCCAATAACTCAATTAATACTTTTTCGGTCGGGATTTGCTTTTATAATCAGCTGTAAAGTATAAACTTTGATGAAATGGAAATGAGTGAAAGTAAAGAGGGTGGTAAAGAGGGATTTGATGATCTTTAAAGCAATTTCTTTGGCTTTGTGTGTGACTTTGGTGGATCTCCAACGCTGCACTTAGAAGAAAGCAAATGGAGGGTGATTAGATAGGCTACACACAAGGCCTCAAGCTTCTTCCCACATGGAATCAAAACCTGTATAGAACAAACAAGAACAAGAACATGAAGTATTTGAAGCGATTAAGATTATTCGTTGAAACATTAGTTAGTGGAATGGCGTATAAAATTTAAAGCTTCTTTATGCAAAACCAAACCCAAACCCCCAAAACATTTAACACATATTCCTTCTTATGATTGCTTCTTGCATCCATACCCATTTCTGTTCCTCTGTTCTTCGACTCTGTCTCTGCAACCTCACCGGAAAACCCACTTCAAATCCCGTTTAATTGGAGACAGAGAGACAGAGATATGGTCGGTCGGTTGTTGTTCTTCTTCTTTCTTGTCTTTTTGATTTCTCCGGCGGTCGGGAATGATCAGTCGGGGTTTTTCTCTCTGATGAAACAGACGGTGGTTGGGAATTCTCTGCCGTCTGATTGGGATGGGAAATCGTTCTGTAACTTCACCGGCGTGAGCTGTAATGAAATGGGGTTTGTGGTGGGGATTGATCTTTCAGGTCGGGTGGTTTCCGGGAGGTTTCCGGCGGATGTTTGTTCTTATTTGCCGGAATTGAGAGTGCTCCGTCTTGGCCGGAGTGGGTTTCGTGGGACTTTTCCACATGGGATAATGAATTGCTCTGTTTTAGAAGAACTGGACATGACTTTTCTGTATCTAACAGGGACGCTACCGGATTTCTCGCCGTTGAAAAATTTAAGGATTCTCGACTTGTCGTACAACAATTTCACCGGCGACTTTCCGTTGTCGGTTTTCAATTTGACAAATCTCGAGAGGCTGAATTTCAATGAAGATAGTAATTTCAACACGTGGCAGTTGCCGGAGAGTATCTCCGGCTTGACGAAGCTGAAATCAATGGTGTTGACGACATGTATGCTGGAAGGTCGGATTCCGGCGACGATTGGGAACATGACATCGCTCGTTGACCTCGAATTAAGCGGCAATTTCCTCGCCGGAAAAATCCCGAGAGAAATCGGAAATCTGAAGAATTTGAGAGACTTGGAGCTTTATTACAACTTTTTAATCGGCGAAATTCCAGAGGAGCTTGGGAATTTGACAGAACTCGTGGACTTGGACATGTCGGTCAACAAGTTGACTGGGAAGCTTCCAGAGTCGATTTGTCGTCTTCCTAAGCTGGAAGTTCTTCAGCTTTACAACAACAGCTTAACAGGGGAGATTCCAATTTCAATTTCGAATTCAACGACACTCACTATGTTATCCCTTTACGACAACTACATGACAGGACAAGTTCCAAGTAATTTGGGTCAATTCTCGCCGATGGTCGTTCTCGACTTGTCGGAAAATGATTTCTCCGGTCGGTTACCGACAGATGTCTGTGGAGAAGGTAAATTAATGTATTTTCTCGTGTTGCAAAACAAATTCTCCGGTGAAATCCCGCCGTCGTACGGTAAATGCCAGTCACTTTTACGGTTTCGTGTCAGTTCCAATTTATTAACCGGTTCGGTGCCGGAGGGGCTTCTGGGTCTTCCTCATGTTTCGATTATTGATTTCGGTAACAATAATTTAACCGGCGAGATTCCGAATTCTTTTGTGAAAGCTAGAAATCTCTCCGAGTTGTTCATGCAGAGTAATAAAATTTCCGGCGTGTTGCCGCCGGAAATTTCTGAAGCGACCAATTTGGTTAAGATTGATCTCAGCTACAATCTCTTGTCGGGCCCGATTTCTTCCGAAATTGGGAATCTCCGGCGGCTTAATTTGTTGCTTTTACAAGGAAATCAGCTGAATTCTTCAATACCCACTTCACTTTCTCAGCTGAAATCTCTGAATGTTCTTGATTTATCCGACAATCATTTGACCGGAAACATCCCGGAAAGCCTCTGCGAGTTGCTGCCGAATTCAATCAATTTCTCAAACAATCAACTCACCGGTCCGATTCCTCTGTCTCTGATCAAAGGCGGGCTCGCCGAAAGCTTCTCCGGCAACCCAGGACTCTGCGTTTCGGTTTATTTAGATTCCTCCGATCACAAATTCCCAATTTGTCCACAAAACTACAACAAAAAGCGGCTGAATTCCATCTGGGCAATCGGAATATCGGCGTTTATAATCTTCATCGGCGCTGCTCTGTATCTACGACGGCGATTCAGCAGAGAAAAATCAGTAATGGAACAGGACGAAACACTGTCGTCATCGTTTTTCTCATACGACGTCAAAAGCTTCCACCGAATTAGCTTCGACCCACGAGAGGTAATCGAATCAATGGTCGATAAGAACATCGTCGGCCATGGCGGCTCCGGCACGGTGTACAAAATCGAATTAAACAGCGGCGAAATCGTCGCCGTTAAACGGCTGTGGAGTCGGAAGGGGAAGGATACGACGTCGGATCAAGATCAATTGTATTTGGATAAGGAATTAAAAACAGAGGTGGAGACCTTGGGGAGTATACGGCATAAAAATATAGTTAAATTATATTGCTATTTCTCCAGCTTGGATTGCAGCCTTTTGGTTTATGAGTACATGCCAAATGGCAACCTATGGGACGCCCTCCATAAGGGTTGGGTTCATTTGGAGTGGCCAACGCGGCACCAAATTGCGCTTGGCATAGCGCAGGGCTTGGCTTATCTTCACCATGACTTGTTGCCTTCTATTATCCACAGGGACATTAAGACCACTAATATCTTACTCGACGTCAATTATCACCCAAAAGTTGCAGATTTCGGCATCGCTAAGGTTTTGCAAGCTCGAGCCGGAAAGGATTCCACTACCACCGTCATCGCCGGAACCTATGGCTATCTTGCCCCAGGTATGTTCTTAACTCTCGACTCATTGAATGTTTTAGTCTCTATCCTAAAATCATATCATTTATATGAAACAGAGTACGCGTATTCGTCAAAAACGACAACGAAGTGCGATGTATATAGCTTTGGGATTGTGTTAATGGAGCTGATAACTGGGAAGAAGCCGGTGGAGGCGGAGTTTGGAGAGAATAAGAATATTATATACTGGGTGTCGAATAAAGTAGACACGAAAGAAGGAGCTATGGAAGTTTTAGACAAGAGAGTTTCTGCGTCGTTTAAAGATGAAATGATTCAAGTTTTGAGGATTGCAATTCGTTGCACGTATAAGAATCCTGCCCTTCGACCTACCATGAAGGAAGTGGCTCAGTTGTTGATTGAAGCCGACCCTTGCAAATTCGATTCTCAAAATAACAAATGCTCGAAACACGCCACCGCCAAAATCAAGAACAACCCATTTGAGCTATGACTTTGAACCATCAAAAGTTGTATCTATCCAATCAAGAACAACCCTAATCTTCAGGTCAACGGGTGTAGCATCTTCATATACATACATATATCTCTCTTGTAAATATTCTCTTTTATATTTCTTGGCATCACTTTTCTCGAGCTTATTTGATATGATTATTAGTGTTCGTCGCCTGATTTCGACAAAAGAACAGTAAAGTTCGTTGCTTATAAAAATGTCGATAGAACTACGTAACTAGCTAGTAAATGAAAGCGGGAATTACCCATACAAAAAAGTATTTGTAATAACCCAAGTCCACCGCTAGTAAATATTATTTGCTTTGGTTCGTTACGTATCACTGTCAACTTCAAAATTTTAAAACGCATCTACTATGGAGAAGGTCTAGCCCTATTTCAACTAGTGTCTCGCACCGTTCGCTGACTGATTTTTGTAAAGAATGATATTGCATATTACATCAAGACGGTTCCTTATTCTAAACCAATATAATTGAAGGCATGATTCCGAATTCCATTGAAACCCCACACCCACTTCAAACCGAAAAGCATATATATATATATATATATATATATTTAAAAAAGCATATATTAAAAATGTAAGCATCATAATAAGTGTCACAATATTTTGTAAAAAAAATATAATACAATATTTTATTAACAAGGTTTAAATTTTAATACTCAAACAATTGAAACAGGTAAATATAAATAAATAAATAAATAAATATGGAGATTATTAATTTAAAAACATTTTAGTGAAAACATTATTAATGAGGGAAAATAAAAAATAAAAAATTATATTTGAGTGGAGTGATCTCGATGATTGATTATTGTTTTGACGGTTGAGATTAATTACAATTGTTTATATTATCGCTAAAATACGGAAACTCAAGAAATTATAATTTAATACAAAATAATTAATTAAAATTATAATATTATATTTAAAATATTATTTGATTTATTTATTTGCATTAATATCTGCAAATTGTACCGAAATACCACATACCACCAGAAGTCAAAATGCAAGCTGTGATGATGGGTGGGTTGTGTCATGGGTGCTCCACTTTAAACTCTATTTTTTTTTTAAATAAAAAAATTAATTTTAAAATTTCACACGATGTCTGTATGATTTGAGAATTCGACCCGCTCGAACTATCGAACCAATGCTTTGGGTTGAATTAGTGAAAATTAAACATTCGAGTTAATTCAGAGGTTGATATTTTTTTTGTCACGTCAACTTAAAAATAAGGCTATAATCCAATCCAACTATACACTATTTTTTTTTAAAATTATTACGAAAATTAAGAATGTTTAACGAAAGGAAACTCTCACGATGTTCCTTTGTAATTAAGCAGCATCCTTTAAGTAGGGGTGCACTGGACCGTATAATAGGCACCCCACCCCAACCTGAGTTAGTGAGCCATGTAATAGGCGACCATTTCACGTAGTTCAAAGGGCACTTGAGTCAACCGCTCGCGCTCGACTACATCTTGACCCCTGTAAAAGAATGAGATTCTTGCTGAATCTGAATTTGCTGCTCATTGTCAAACTAATTCCTATTCTGTTCCTACTTCATATTGCAGTGATTTGTAAATATTAAATATTTGAATTATTAATGTGATATGTACGGTGTGAAAATATAACTTTTTTTTAATTATTATCTTTTAAAAAAATTAAAAAAAAACACATTTTTTTAATTTATTAAAATATAACACATTTCAAGAATGATATTTTAATACTTTTTTTAAATAATAATAATAATAATAATATTTTTAAAATTGATAGCGATTAGGGAGAAAGAACGGGGCAGAGACAAAACGGCGAGTATTAATATTGCAGAACAAGAACAAAGAAAGAGAAAAGAGTTGAAAATGGCGTTTCACCGGCCATCCCCAAATCGGAAGGCCCTCAAACCGCCTCCCATAAACCACCCAATCTCTTCTTCTACTCATCTTCTTCCTTCCCCTGTGTTTCCGCCATGGCTGTGCTCCACAGCTTTCTCTCCCCCCCTTTACACAATCCCCAACCTGCCCTTGCTCCCCAACGCCTTTCTTCTCATTGCGCCTTCCCAAATCGAAGGTCATTTTCGGCCATTTACGGATAGTTGCACTACAATGTAGCTTCTCTATTGCGTTCAAAAAGGCAGACAGGATGGAGCCAGGCAAACAATACACCGTATATATATATATATATATAATATTCATACCCCTTTTCAGTTCTTGTTATTTTCTGGGGTTTCCCTTGAATTTTAACCGACGATGAACACCGTACCTTTCTTCATCTCTAATGGGGTTTTTTTTCCAAATGCCCGTTTCTGCTCGCTGGGTGAGAAGCTTTTTGATGACATTCCAAATGTATGTATGTATCGAGATAATGATGAGGATTATGTATGATTTCCTTACTTTCATTACTGGGTTGCAATTAATAGAAGCATATGTTCATTTCATTCTCTTGGTTTACACTTCTTTTAACTCTTTTCCTTTACTTCCCTTTTGTGTTTGTCTGATTTTCTTTTGGTAACTTCTATATTTGTTGTTTGACTGTGTCGATATTCAATACTATTTGTTGCTAATAAGGGGCTTTTGATTGATTCTATGATTTGGAAGAGGACAAAATCTTGGTGGTTGGCTCCCTGGCCATTGGAGTTGATTCTACTGTTTACAATTTGTTTTTGGGGAGATTATCGTTCATTTGCAATGATTTTGTTTTTAGTTTAACAGATGAATGAAATAGATGAGAACAAAGAACAATGTGGTTTGATGATCTGTAGAATCTTGTTCATCCAATATGCAATGTGTAATGATGATACTTCTGGGCATTGATTGATATTTAAAAGAGTAGAGGTTACTGTTTATGTATGATTTCTGGAGATTTATGAGTTTATATGTTCTAGCCTGACAGATTTTGAAATTTATGCTCATTCTTGATTTTCATCCACTAGAGCTAGCTGAATTTTCTTTTCATGGTCCAATTTCAAGCTGCAATGGATCATTGTCTTCGTTTCGATCTGCTTCTTTGCACGAAATGCTTCTTTACTCCAACTTGATTCCCCCAATTAGAAAATGAAGTTTGATCTTCAGATCGAGTTGCCATGTTATGTAGCTGTTCATGCACATTGTCATAACAATGGTTACTCCATTGCTTAGATTCTGATGCTTATCATATGGTTCTTATTCCCTTAGCTGAGTGGGAGCTCTTGATTGTAGAGCATTCTTTTATGAGATTTTCTTGTGTCGAGGAAATGGCTCAGGCCCACCACCAGCAGATATTGTCTTCTTTAGGCTTCCCTTTTCGGGTTTTCCCTCAAGCTTTTTAAAACGCGTATGCTAGGGAGAGGTTTCCACACCCTTATAAAGGGTGTTTCGTTCTAGGGATCTCACAAAATTCTTCAATAAAAACTACTCCATTCTGGCGTATGAACAATGCAAAGTCTTCCTGAACAGTTCTGGAGCTTATCCTTTATGACAATTCACAAGAGTACTTCTGTCAAGTTGTTTAATATCACATTTTTTAAAACCCATTAACTTGATATTTGTAGGCCTTCTGGATAATGTTACCTTTTTTAGTTTTTGCTAGAACAAATGTGTTCAATCATGAATTTTCTTTTGCTGCTGTTTTGGAATCCAGTCTCTGAGAAAGCTGTAAGATATGACAAATGGCAATCAATTCATATGACTGCCTTTCAAATTCATGGGTCTGGAAAGGGTGGGGTATATGCTTGCTTGCTTGGTCGTTTGTTTTGTGATGAATCGTATTTGTAACGGTCGTTTGAGCAATTGAGTTCATTTAAGTCAGGTTGTGTGAGATCCCATACCACACCGATTGGAGAGGGGAACGAGTAGTAGCCAGGACGCTGGGTCCCGAAGGAGAGTAGATTGTGAGATCCCACGTTGGTTGGAGAGAGGAACAAAGCATTCTTTATAAGAGTGTGGAAACCTCTCCCTAGCAGACGCGTTTTAAAAACCTTGAGGGAAAGCCCAAAGAGGACAATATCTACTAGCGGTGGACTTGAGCTGTTACAGGCTGTGTCTCACGACGTTGAACTCTAAGATCAGGTCAGCCGTCTCCTTTGGTGCTACTATATACTCATTTAATACATTCATACGAAAAAAGAACATCGATAGAGGAATATGGTAACAGAAGCACACACATTCACCACAAAGTTTAGTTAAAACAGTGTGGGGGGAAAATGTTGGTAAATAAGATGGGAATAGATTCCTGTCATCCTGTGTGCAGACTTGATTACTTGTTGGTTGGAGGTAGGGAAGGGTAAGAACTATGCAGAGGTTTAGGGTCCCATTTCTGTCATATTGAGTGCTTTCAGTAAGTGATCTGTGGTGAATTGGGAGGTAAGAAACTATGAAGGTTCCCTTACCTGTCACCAAGAACTCAGTAACATGAGAAGACTTGGGCTCAAATAAGGGTAGAATTCAGAGCACCGAGTCAAGAGAGAAGAACAAGAACAGGGAAAGAGAAATGTTTTGTCTTTTTTTTGTTCCAATGTTGTACATGTTTCTTGACAACCAGTAGGATTAGAAGATGGTATTCGTCATTTCTCATGAATGTGTAGGTACGAGTATGTTTATATGTTTGTGTGATTGTTTAGAAGAGGAAGAGAGGTTTGTGAGATCCCACGTTGGTTAGAGAGGAGAACAAAACATTCCTTATAATGGGCATACGTGTTTTAAAAACCTTGTGGGGAAGTCTGAAAGAGAAAGTATGAAGAGGACTATATCTGCTAGTGGTGGGCTTGAGCTGTTACAAATAGTATCAGAGTCAGACACTAGGTGATGGAAGGCTGAGCTCCAAAGGGGGTGGACACGAGGCGGTGTGCGAGCAAGGACGCTAGGCCTTGAAAGGAGTTATAGATTGGGAGCCCTATATCGATTGGAGAAAGGAACAAGTGCCGGTGAGGACACTGGGCCTCAAAGGGGGTGAATTGTGAGATCCCACATCAGTTGAGGAGGAGAACGAAACATTCTTTATAAGGGTGTGGAAATCTCTCCCTAGTAAACATATTTTAAAATTTTTTGAGAGATAGGCCCGAAAAGGAAAACACAAAGAAGACAGCATCGCGGTGTTTGTGAAGTTGTTGGTTGTTGGTTTCATTCAAACTGTAACTACAAAGCAGCAAAGGGGACAGTGAGCAGATCAGTGCAATTTCACGTATGTCTCTTCCACAGCATCTTTTTGCTCTTTTATTATTATGTTTTTTTTCCCCCCCTTCAACTATACCACTAGTTTTTGAATGCCTAATAATGTTCGTTCCCTCGAACGTTGACGGTGCGAGTAAGATGAAAATCTTCTTTTTGAACTTAAACTTAGGCGTCGTTGGACTCGAAACCAGCTTTTGAATTGTGAGAAAACCCGTTATCTAAGAAGTGTGACCTTCTTCTATTTCAATCACGTTGCCCTCTCGCTCTCGCACGGTTATAAGGTACTTTAGCTTATATTTTAGCACTTTTTGGCTTTTATCATGCTAAAGTTAGCTAATGATTAACGTACCTAGGTGACCTATGTCTCGTAGATTCATTATTAGTCAATTTTTATATTCACGGAGTATAATTGAAAAATATATTAAAATATAGGAACTAAATTGAAATATTTCGCGTTAAAAAAAATGAAATTAGAGAGAAATAAATAGGGGAGAATTTCTATTTTCAGAAATAAAAAGAATAAAAAAAAAAAAAAGGAAAAATGGGCCATGATGTGTTAGATTATGGGCCCTTGTTTTAATAGTTTGGGCCATACGTGTTTCGAACATCATTGTGTCCTTTTGTATAATTGCATGTCGCATTAATTGCATTTTACTATGGAATTTGGAATTTCAAATTTAGTTTTGGGATTTCGATATTATAATAATAATAATAATAATACATTTTTATGATTTTATGGTCGGGTTAAATTTATTATTTAATTAACATTATTTGGGAAATTAGGGAAAATTTGTGGTCCTCGAGAGTTACGTACACCTTTTATTTACCATATGTCACGTTAGCATCACTTTTTAGGTCGAGAAGACTTAACGACCTATTTAATAAAGTCAATGTCAAACATAATATAACATATATTTGATGTAACACTATTTAGTTAAATTACAGCAACGAATTTCTTTGTTACTTTTAATATTTTTTTTAAATTGAGGAATTTAAATTCAATTTTGCCTATAATTTTTTTTTAAAAAAAAATCTCAAATATAAAGTTTAAGGATATAATTATTAAAAAAAAAAAACATAAATTGCGATATAATGATAAGTCACATCGAGGTTGTTTTTCTTAGGAAAAACATGAACCAATATTCCACTTTAATGCAATCCAACCTAAAAATGTTCCATTCATGCCTTAATTCCAACTATATAAATACAAAAATTATTATTATCGACCTTTAAGTCACATTCACTCGCATAATACACCACCCACCCGTAAAAACCTAGGGGAGAACTGGAAGCTCGTCAAGATAAGGGACAAAGTCCGGAAAGCGAAGATTGTGTGTTGGAAATGTTAGGATCACGCAACTCACACACTCGATCTAGATAAAGAACATGAAGAACACGAAGAATAAAAGAAAGGAGACATAAGGAGAAGGGAAATCTCTGTTAAGAATCACGAATCTCCACAATAATATGATATTGTGCACTTTTGAGCATAAGCTCTCAAGGTTTCATAACATACTTATAAACTCATGATCATTCCCCCAACGTAGGACTCACTCCCAACATAACATACCCATTTTAAAAACTTTGAAGGGAAACTCGAAAGGAAAAGTCAAAAGAGGATAATATTTACTCGTCTGAGAGGCCTCATGACATTTTTTATTCCGAAGGCGTTACACGTATGGAGCTATCACTTAAGATTTGAATAACATGCTTTGCCTTATTCTCTACTTTTTTTTTATGTATTTATATTTTATAATAAAATAAATAATTGTTTATTGAAAAGGGAAAATTGGATAATAAAAATAATAATAATACGATAAGTGAGTATAATTATTTGGAAAATAGTGCACAAAAAGATGGAGCCAACGACAGGCCAATGTGCGTACGCACCACACATGTTTTTAATTTTTTTTTTCTAATATTTATTTATTTATTAATTCCTATTTTTCCATTTTATTTCCTTTTACCAAAAATTATTTAATTTATCTAATAAAAATATTAGTATTAATAAATTATCATTTATTTATTTATTTATTAGTTCATGATAAGTAGCAATATTTTTAAAAAAATATTAGTAATTATTTTTTAGAAAAATCATTTTTTTAATGAATTATTCTAATTTAATTTCACACCCATCTCTTTATTTATTTATTTATTTATTATTATTTTAGTTTATTTTATTTAATTTTAAGAAGGTACGAGATATATCTTTATCTATTATTCTCCATTCATGTCGTGATTCTTTATTTAGATAAGGTACCTTCCACTTAATTAAATTTACATTTTGACACGTACTCCCATTAGAATATAAATCAATTTTCCAAAAAAAAAAAAATTAATTAATTAATTAAAATTATTTTTTAGAAAAGGATGTTAAATTGATTTGCTATATTTTCCACCAATGTCGGCGTATGATGTATATATAGGTAATTTGGGACATTTTCGAACACTGTTTATGACCAAAACCATGCATCAAATTAAATATTAATCATGTATAGATCAAAATCGTGCACCTAATTAAATACGAACTAAAGAATCTCCAAATACATGTATCTATAAGTAATTTTGTTATTTATTCTTTAAGCGCTAAGGATGTGTAAATTCGAAATACGACTTTAAAATTTTGGTCACGGTATCGGGCGTTTAAGTGAAAGGTTGAACGTAAGAGAAGAATTTCCAATTTTAATCATGAATTTTGGAGGGCTTTTTAGCAAACAAAAAGCTATACACCCACTATTGATGGTGTAGGACGTTTTACATTTCAACCCCCAAAATTCTCCTATTTTCCTTTTGACCCAGAATCTTAATAGGTTAAAGTTCGAATAAATTTTAGTCCGAATATCATGAACTTTAGATCGGTAACTCTCCAAAAGCTCCTTTAAATTTGGACAAACTTTTACATAAACATCGAGACGAACTCTGAAAAGGGTAAAACGGGAATTAAGTAAAAATTGGTTTAAAGTAATAGAAGGGATGAATAAAGATTTATTCTTTCAAGATCATTACTACTAATTTAACTTGTGAGAGATTTCCTTGCATGACTTGAATTCTATATTCTTCTTTTTTGAGCCAAAACAAAAAAACACAATCAACCTTTCCTTATTCGTTGCATCTTTTTTCTTCTCTAAAATCCCACTTTTTGCTTCCTATATTTATATCATAGCTCTCCCCTTCACTTCTCATATCCATCCTCTCCAAGCAACCAAAAATGGCTGCACATCAATTCCCTAAGAACTCTATGCACCTCGACCAAAATCTAGAAGCTGCCTTGGGCGGGTTTGGCAAGGACTTCGATGACGATGGTCGAGAGAAGCGAACAGGTAGTGAAAGTTGTATTACTATTTGTGTCTTATCTACTGAACTATACAAGCTGATATACATATACGTGTGGATTGTGGATTGAAGGAACATGGGTTACTGCAAGTGCTCATATTATCACGGCGGTGATTGGGTCGGGAGTTCTATCTTTGGCATGGACAATCGCGCAGTTGGGTTGGGTGGTCGGACCGGCGGTTTTGGTGGCGTTTTCGTTTATCACATATTTCACTTCCACCATGTTGGCTGATTGTTATAGAGCTCCAGACCCAGTAACTGGGAAAAGGAACTACACTTATATGGATGTTGTCAAAGCTCATTTGGGTAACACTAAAACTAAACTAAACTGAAATCTTCTGTTTTAATCTCTTCACCATTTTGTTGAGTTGGGTTATCTTGGAATGTTGCAGGAGGAACAAAGTTTAAGCTTTGTGGGTTAGCTCAGTATGGTAATTTGGTTGGAATTAGCATTGGCTACACCATTACTGCCTCTATTAGCATGGTGTAAGTATACTTTAGCCTCCTGTTTCTTTATTAGGTATTAAAAGCTTTGTTCGGTTTTGTTGCTAAGTATTAAACTCCCCTTGTCTTCTGTACGTGTCTAATAGGTTCTTAAAGTTTTAAAAAGCGTTTAAAATAGTCTTAAACACGGGTAACTTAAATTCACAACCTAACAGTTCGTAGACCAACCCGAGATGTAAATTAAGATGGTTTAAAATGCTAAGTTAACAATGATTTTGTGACTAATGAAATGAAATCAGAGCGGTGAAGAAGTCAAACTGCTACCACAAGAATGGGCATCAGGCAGACTGCACCGTCTCTGGTGTTCCATACATGCTACTATTTTCGGCCATGCAAGTGTTGCTCAGCCAAATTCCCAACTTCCACAAGCTCTCATGGCTCTCTATTCTCGCCGCCGTCATGTCGTTTGCTTACGCTAGCATCGGAGTCGGCCTGTCCATCGCAAAAGTCGCAAGTATACATACCTAAACACATAAAGATATAAGATTGAAACATAGTTTTTATGGTACAAAATTATGAGTCACATTTTTGTGTGTTGAAGGTGGTGAGAATGGACAAACAAGCTTGACAGGGATTGATGTCTCAGGACAGGAGAAAGTATTCAGGGCCTTCCGAGCTATTGGGGATATTGCCTTTGCTTATGCCTATTCTACCGTCCTCGTTGAAATACAGGTAATTTCTTTCTTTCTTTCCTATCTACCACTAGAGCTGAAACTTCAACAACAATGTAAGTGAAGGAATTTCAATAAAAAAAAGGCAGATTCTAGTTGTGAGTGGGAAGAAAATAAGAGGTGGGTATGAAAATGAAAGGAAAGAAGCGTGGGGAGGAAGGTTGAAAAATGAATGAAGAACATGTAAGAGACATAAAAGTGTGGCTAAACAATAACACTACAAAAATCTTCAACAGTAAGGGGAGCCATTATATGAGAGGCAATGTCAAAGAGTTGTTCTGTTACGGTACGGGGTCCAGTTTCAGAACGACACTGACTTGACATCTTGTTTGCTTTCTTCTTTGTTATTTACTTTATAGAATACTCACATTCACATTTAAAGTAAACTATTGCCTATTTAACCATAAACTTTGAAAATTTAGAGATCTAATAGATACAAAGAAGAAAAGAGTACGTACCAATTATCGTTGAACTCTGTTTTTCGTTTGGATAAGAATGATTGTGGTTGAAATTTCGGCTCGGATTTAGATTCTATGGACCATAGAAATTGCGTGGACCACATCCACTGTACTGTAAAGGCGGTCCCAATCTTCAGCACCCAGAAAAATGGCATCTTCCTTTCTTTCTGGGTTTGGGTGCAGATTCATTACATCACCATCACAGAGTTTCGTATGGATTTGAGACGACGGTCCAACAAACTTCTTCCTGTGGACCCCTTTAAACCCAATCATACAATAAATTACATTTAAAATCTCCAGTTTTTCCATCTTTACTGCTGAAAACAGATGTGTTACCATTTTGATGATGTTCCAACTCTTGTCGCTTGCATCATTCCCCCGGGGCCAAGGTTTGGCCCAGCATGTCCCTGTTCCTATCATGTTGAAAGCTCACAATCATACGTATTATTCTGCTCAAGATAATGTAGCAACAAATCCAAAACTAGCAATGAACTCACAGCTCAATGACTTACCCATGAATTTACAGGACACATTGAGATCAAGCCCACCAGAAAACAAAGCAATGAAGAGGGCAACTTTTGTCGGCATCTCAACCACCAGTCTTTTCTACATACTCTGTGGTTGTGTTGGTTATGCAGCATTCGGAAACAATGCACCAGGAAATTTCCTTACTGGCTTCGGATTCTACGAGCCCTTTTGGCTCATTGACTTCGCCAATATCTGCATTGCTGTTCACCTAGTTGGTGCTTACCAGGTGAAATCAATTGATCAGTTCCCAACTCCTACATGAACGACATTTGTGAAACTTAACCTTTTAGTACTCCATCAGTTTATGTTCTAAGTTTTGTACATGAATACTATAACCTGCAGGTATTCTGCCAACCCGTGTATGGGTTCGTGGAAAAATGGTGCAGCACAAGGTGGCCAGAAAGCAAATTCATAACAACAGAGCACATCATCAAGTTACCTTTTAATGGAGAGTATCCGCTCAGCTACTTCAGATTGATTTGGAGGACAGCATATGTGATAGTGACGACTGTGATAGCTATGATATTCCCATTCTTCAATGCTTTCCTTGCTTTGCTTGGGGCTACTTCATTTTGGCCATTGACAGTCTACTTTCCGGTCGAGATGTACATAGCAAGGACTAAATTGCCCAGATTCTCTTTCACCTGGATCTGGCTGAAGATATTGAGCTGGGCCTGCTTGGTCATTTCACTAATGGCTGCTGCTGGATCAATTCAATCCCTGGCACATGAAGTGAAGAAATACAAGCCCTTCCAAGTTGAGATTTGATTAGTAGCAAAGTCCAGTAATCTTATAAACGTCACCAAACAGCATTGTCTCAAAGTGAACTTGAATTTACATCTACTCCTAAATTTTCAACAACCTTATTGGACAGCCTCTACATTAAGGCGATATGTTTTAGTAGGGGAAAAGGAAAAGGAACAATGCAATTTATCAATAAAAATAAATATCTTTCTGCAACTGCTATTCTGCCCCTAAGTACAATATATGCTTACAAGTTTCACAAAAACATGATCATCGTTAGGCTGTGTTTACATATTGAGGGGGGAAATGTCACAAGAGCTCCCAAGTGTATGTCAAATTTTCCAGATTATGGCAAAACTAACTGCCCTAAGGCGTATCAGCAGTTAACACTCGTCTGTGCAACATCCTTTCTCCGAAACAATCGGCTCAGAGATAAGAAAGTGGTCATCGTCTATACCTACCATCAGAAATAAATTCCTACTAAGACCACTGGAAACCAGTACACTACCCTCCTGTTAAACAATATTTAAATAGCCAAATTGGGGAAACCATATGATTACCAAAGAAAACAAATCAACTAGACTCGGTCTCACTGATAACAAAAGCTTGAATAAGACTCTGGGCAGCATGAGTCTGCTCAGGCGTTCCAGAAATGATAACTAGAGTTTCAACTGCTCCTTGCTTTGGTTCGGAAATCGTAATTTTTGCATCAGAAACCTACAAGAAAGATGGGTCCTGTGAGATAGCTGTGACTATTACTACCTTTCAGTACATTACTAATCGGAGGTCTAATGAAAAGCTTCCTTCATATTATAAAACTAGATTACTAATTGGAACTTCATTTTTAAATGACTGCAAATGTTTCACCGTGATCTCTCTATCAGAATCACTTTAAGACATTATCCCATACATAAAGACTTTCAGAAAAAGGGAACTAAAGCATGCATGACATGCCCCCGTGAACGAATAGGCTCACTTCAAAGATCTAAAAGTACTAAAAAGAAAACAAACATTGAGATCGAGCACAACACTTCAAGTGAGACAATTACTTATTATGCAAACTAGCTTATGGCATCTATATGATGACATGATGTATGGGCATTTCGCAAAACAATTTTCTAAATAAATATGTAATATCTTTTTAAAAAAAAAAAACTTTTTCTTTTTGTCCTTTGGATCAAAAACACAAAAATGAATATTCATACCTGACGAATCTGTCTCAAACATTCACCATTCTCTCCACAAATAACAGGAACAAGGTTTCTAGGAAGAACTACTTCAACAGTGGTGCTCGTAATAATAGCTGGATTATTTCCTCTGCATAAATAAAATGAAAATCAAACACTGATCTCCATAAGGGAGCAAAAGTAATTGAAGTGGCAGATAGCAAACCCTCCAAATCCAGCCATTCTTCTACGATGGGCTCCTGCGAAGTCTGGCAAGCCAACACCACCTTCAACTCGTCCCTGAAATACAGTTCAAAGGAGAGAAAAGATTATCAACTTTAGACCAACACCAGTCTTCTTTATTTGGCTGAAAAATCATCACAGTTACAGACACCAAAAACTAATTGTGGGGGGAAAAAAGTGTTAAACACCTGGGAGCTCCATGGTTTTCTATCAGACAATAGAGAAGCACCAGGCCTATGAAGAAAAGGAGGCTGATCATCCCGCAAATCACTAAGTGAAGGAATGCCACTAAGAGCATCAAGCTTATGAAATGAGGGGCCTAATTTGAATGAACTCCTGGAGGTGATAATTCTCTCCTTCCAAAATATGAAGGAAGTCGATCTATGAATGCAGGATTTGGATGACTATTAACAGATGGAAATGCATGGCGGAAAAAATGATGTCTCAGCAGAGTAGTGATCTGCAACATAGCATCTTGAACTGCTTCGGGCTCTCCATTTATCTGTCAGTAAAGTGACATGCAAGTAATGGTTTAAAGTTGGATGCAAGAAGTACCAGATGATGAAGGACGACCAAAATACCCTAACCAAAATAAACATCAACTACTTGGCATTAATCGGTAGTGATATAATCTTAACCAAATTTGTAAGATCCTGTTATTATCATGTATGATATATGTAACTGGTGAACAAACCTGAACTACTTCTTCATCTTCCGCAGCACACTTCAACAACTTTGATGTCACAGCTTGTCTCTTGCTGAAGAGTCTTAACTATTGCTCCTCCTTTTCCAATTACATTTCCAACTCTCTCAGATGGGCATAATAAACGAAAACTTAAAATTTCATGAGAAGGTTGGATTCGACCAGGAATGCTGGTTTCATACTGTTTAGGAGCAAGAGAAGGAACACTGGAACGAAAATTGCCAACATCACGCGGCACAGAGTAAGGGACTAACTCATCACTGGATGCTGCACAGGTAGGAAGTTTATGCCTGGGAAGAATTCTAATTTGCGCTCCACTATCAGATGACATTTGTTTGACTACACTGCCAGCCTTTCCCAATAAGCACCCAGCTTGACTAGAAAGAACAAGCAATCTTAAGACAAATGTAGACAGCTTATCACCTTCAGCATCTGTTTTCTGCCACCGGTTCTTCGTCTAAGAACTTCTCAGATACAAGAAAGAGGGCCTTCCGCAATTGCAAATGTGGAACTTCCTTCTGTTTACCATCTTCCAAAGGAGGAGAATCTTTATCTTCTTTCTTTTTACACTCAGCAATATTGTCACCGTTCTCCTCGACTTCAGAATTTTTCTTGTCTTCCTTATTATTCTGCTCAGGGTTCACTTCAGTTTCTTGATTAGGGCCTGCAATTACTACTATTTTCTCATTACTTCCATGTACAGTTTCCTCTACTCTGATTTCTACACCTGTTTCTTCACGAATTTGAGATAAAACATCCCCATCTCCACCTATTAGACTGCCAATTCTTGAAACATGAAAGAGGACACGAAAGACAGCATAACCAGGAGAGAGTTTGAAGGATTGGTTTTGTGAACGAGAACCACCTAATGGCTTGTGCCACTTTCCTTTCCCATTCGGCTTGACAAAGCTCCGATCACGTGATCTCTTTGAGGGAGTCAATGGAGCAGACATTCCTGCTGATAACACAGAACAAGGGTTCCAAATTAATAAGCCAACAACAAAGATAACTGAACCTTAGAAGCATCCTGTACTAGAAAACCAGCAAGTACACTGACCCAAATTGCATCTACAAAACAAATTCGCCTAAATGAAAAACACAAAAGAAACAAAAAATAACCCAGCGCCATGAAGCTAGGGGAATGCAATCCCACACATACTGACAATATCCATTTCCTTGCATCATAAAAAATTACAAACGCAAGAGTTTGGCAAATGATCGAGTATTAAATTTTGAATGGCTAAATGAAGCAAGTATGGAGACCATTAAAGCTTAAACTGTGGAGACCAACCCGGCTTAGGCAAGATAATGAAAAGCTTGAAGAAGAGTATAATATCCACTACTAAAAAAACTTACAGTATCAGGGGGTATTCAGTGATTCCAGGTCGAAGAAAACGGCCTTCAATGGAAATTCCGGTGGGAAATGCCGTCCAGTTATTGAGCTCCGAGCAGTGCAAAAGAAGTTGGAGAAATGACCGAAATCCCTTGGCACTTGAAATTCCAAAAGAGAAAGCGAGGGGTCTTTGGCGTTTTGCATAATTCTCCGGTTTCTGGAAATCTGAGTCGGGTCGGGTTTACTATACGGTCCCGACTTGGCCAGATGACGCCATTTGAGCTCTGAAATGTTTTGTCTTATTCAGTTGGCGGGTTTTTTCGACCCGACCCGACCCGATTAGATGTAATCGGGTGGGGGTTAAGAAGTGAAGATTAATAAGTTAGGTGGAGTTAATTAGTAGATTTAATATGTTGATGTTTGTGGTACGAGTTCTAAAGTCTGTGTTTTGAGTGGTGAGTTGTCTAGAATTCTGAAGTCTTAATTTAATTATACTCGATTTTATTTGGTATAAAAGAAAGTATTTTGTTGTTTGAGGCTGTTAAAATTGAGAAAAAGTTGAAAGAGAAAATTAATTTGTAAAAAATCTGTTGATCAAATGTTCTTGATCTCACAACAAATGAGTTGAATTCCACAAAGAAAAAAAGATAATCAAATCTAGCTAAATGCGTTTTCTCCGATATCAATAAATTATTTTTGCATTTGTTATTCTTTTTCAAATATTTCACATCAAATTTTATGGTTGTCTTCATTCAACCTCAGAATCAAAAGCATTAGTCGAACTGAATCATCAAAACGAACTCGCACAGAAATAACCAACCTAATTGATGTAATTGGATAAAATCATACAATTACTGCTCGAGTTCTTGTGGATTGATGATCAGTAGAATTAGAGAGACGGAGAATCTCAAACATTAGGTTGTTTTGTACTGAAAGGTCTAGGGTTCTACTCCGTGCAACAAACAGACAGATTACGTGCAACAGCCAATTCTTGATTCGACAAATTAATCGAGATGCATTTCATTAATAGAAACAATTCCAGATAGCGGATTGACTAAACAGAGATTTCCGAGCCGCACAATTCCGAAACAAAAGTCTAATTAAAACATCAATGATACAGATAATACAGGAAAAGAACAGAGAGAGTTACTAGTATTACTCGCTAGTAGACGGTGCTTGTTCCGATGAAGCAATCGAAGAGGCTACCTCCACATTACCATCGCCAGAGACTGGTGAAACAAAAGTCCAGTCCGGTGGAAGATTCGGCAGAGGAGGATACACAGTCGGCTTGCGCTTAATGTCCCATGGCTGAGACTTCCGTGGCCTCGTTTTCATGTGATGTG